GCTTTACTGAGGTCCAGGAAAACTACATCCATAGCCCTTCCCTCGTCAACCAGGCGGGTCACCCTGTCATAGAAGGTGATCAGGTTTGATTGGCAAGACCTGCCTTTCATAAACCCATGTTGACTGGGCCTGATCACCCGGTTAACCTGTATGTGCTCATTAATAGCACTCAAGATAACCTGTTCCATGACTTTGCCCGTCACCGAGGTCAGACTGACAGGCCTGTATTTCCCCGGATCCTCCTTCCACCCTTTTTTGTAAATGGGGGTAACATCCGCCAGCCTCCAGTCCAGCGGAACTTCCCCAGTAAGCCAAGACTGTCCAAAGATAATGGACAGGGGTTTGGCAATGACATCCGCCAGCTCTCTCAGGACTCTCGGGTGGATACCATCAGGCCCCATAGACTTGTGGGCATCCAGCCGAAGGAGCAGATCCTTGACCCGTTCCTCTTGGATCACAGGAGCTTCGATTTGCTCTCCCTCCCTGCACTCAGACACCGAAGGCCAGCTCACCTGGGAACTGCTGACCTTATTATTAAAGACTGAGGCAAAGAAGGCATTAAGGACCTCAGCCTTGTCCTCATCCTTAGTGACTAACGTACTCCCTGAGTCCAGTAGGGGCTGGAGGTGATCTTTAGCCCTCCTTTTGTTATTAATATATTTATAGAAAGACTTTTTGTTGTCCCTTACGGAGCAGGCTAGTCTAAGTTCATCCCAAGACACAAAGAATCTCTAAAAGCACCTTATTGCTTTTTGAATTTTTAAATATATGACAATGAAAATATGAAACTCATTTCAAGTTTAGTTGAACATTGCTCTAGGAAAAAAAAAAAAATCAAAAACAGCATTACATTTGGGCTTTTATACTGCTCTCATGAGCTTCGACTTTCAAGCTGATACTGAAGTATGGATTAGTGCCTATTTAACTTTCGGGTCACAATAATATTGCCACAGGCAAAATCATTATATGTTTAGTTTTCATTATTTTTTTTCCTCTCCCCAGGGAAATATAAATAGACTAGAGAAAGGACTTAAAGCAAACACAAAGAAACTCATCTAACCAGTAAATACTGAGTCAACCTCAGTTAAGTTACTTAAGCACTTATCTCTCCCCTCTTTATCAATGGATTAAACATCTAAATACTCTTTAAATACCTTTGCTTTTAATAACTTCATTTTTAAAGCATTAGGATTTTCTGTCATGTAGGATTTCATACGTGCATGTACATATACATATAAAAAATATGTAAAAGTGCCGATTAATCTTAATTCTGTAACTCTCCTTCCTGACATTTCAGAGGCTATCTGATAGAACTGGGAAAATCACTATACCTAATCATTTCCTTTACTTCCTTTTTAACAGGCTGTAATAATTTTTTATTACTGTTGACAGAAACCCCTCTTGAAGGAGCAGGTTTTCTATAGCAGGTATGAAATTTCAATTTTAGATGTCAAACTAGTAAAGCATTGAGCATCTGACACCAATCACAATAGAGGGCACTCAGTCCCTGATGGGATCAAGCCTTCAACAGCCCAGTTGACATAACCTTCACTTTAGTGTAACCTTTGCTTCTGGTATTGAAAGAAGAGGAATGCTAGTTTTAAGCGAAAAATACCATTGGAAGATAAAATAATATCCTGGGCACATTAAAGTCCTCTGCTATCCTGCTACAAAGACATTGTGTATGCTCCCAGCCTCTGCCAGACCAGTGGCCCATCAACATTTCACTTCTCATTCAGTATCATCTGGACTCCTACAGCAATACAGAGGAAGAAAGGGCTCTAAAACAACTGAATCAAGTAACAAAGAAATCCTTCCATTTTACCTCAAATATTCTCAACTTGGATGTAATTTCCTCCAGTAGTTTAACATCCTTGGAAATTTTGATCTTTAACTTGTCCCAGTGTCCCTGCACATGCTTGAATTCTTGCATGTAGACCTTTTTTATATCCGAAGAAGCATGTCTCTCCAAAGCCTTGGTTTCTTCAGCAAGTTTATCTACCTTGGGCTTCTGGGCTTCCAGTGTCTCACAAACAGTCTGCAATGAAAATAAAAAAAAAAGAAAAACAGAAAAAAGGAAAAAATATGTCTGCTTCCAGTATTAGCCATACAACAAGTACATGCTTACACACAAGTGCAAGCACATGAAATGTTTTGTTGTGCAGAGTGCAGATTCAGTGAAAAATGACATTCCAGTTACTGCAATAGAGATGTTCAAACAACCTTTTAAGCAGCAAAACCTTCAGCTGCTCTACTGGTTCAGTAGCAGAGATTACAGAAGGGGCTGTAAAGCTTGGCCACGTAGCTAAACACATCCAGGCACCTACACCCCTCCTGTGCTGTGCGGTATGGGCACTCAAGTTAGCAAAGCAATGGCTACGTTACACTGCAGTCACAAAAGAAACTGCAATGTAAACATACCAGGACCTCAGATTTTTCATTTCCTCCAAGGATATATATTTTATATTTTTTGGTAATGAAAAAACAAACAAAGCCCACATAAACAGGCTGAGTGTGTCCTTCCAAGTTTTGTAAAGTAAAATTATTATAACACCTAGTGGCAATGAAAGCACTGAACACTTGAGTTTTAAAGGGTACTCTCTTCCAGTGGGAATACAAGGAGGATACAAACCAAATATATTCACTATGGCATTACTGATATGAAGAGTCACTTGAGCTGAAATAGCTAATTTCCTAACATTAAGGAAAAATAACAGCTGAAGGTACAAGCTAAGACATGAAAAACACTGCCACTTCATTAAACTGGTCATTTTGGTTATCCTGCTTAAATTTTGTTTAAGAGTGAAATCTGAAATGAATACATGAAACCATTACTAATTTAATGATTTTAACTTAGCTAATATACACATTTAACATGTACATGTGGGATGCATGCACATATTTCACTATATTTTATTGAGGAACAGTCTTCTTTTCAATATCTTTATGTTCTCAACTTTACTTTGTATTTACAGGAAAGAAACAGGATAAAGTGTAAAGTTTCCTAAAAAGATGGATAGTGAGGTAGCAGTGAGACTAGAAGGAGGAATATATATTACTGCAAATAAGAGCTTTCTGCACAGGGGTCACAGATCAAGTCAATCCCCGGCTTGGGTCTATGCCTGAAGCACTTATCAATGCCTGCAGAAGGAGGAGCTGGACAATCCCAGGTCCACAAGCAGCTCATCCTCTGCAGTTTATTCCCATCTCCCACCCCACTCTTTAAAGTTCCCACATTGGCATGGTATGTCCTTTCAGATTAATTAGTCTCTGAAGAAAAGGGAGAAGGAAAAGATAAGCCTCAAAAGACTAAACGTCATCGCAATTCAGCTAGTTTATGGACCAGAAAAATCTCTGTCAACTTTAAACAATACAGAAGCAACATTAAAGAAGACAACCAAAGAACTCAGAACTTTTTTTAATCTGCTGGCTCAAAAAACCAAAGCACTAACACCCCTGTTTACTAGGCTCTTAAAAATACCTATTTGATCATTCTGTTGAATAGAGAAGGATATAAAGACAGACACAGCATCTTCCCACTCAGCAACTAGAGTTCAAGAGCTCCTCCAGAGTCATCTTCAGCCCTTGTATGCCACCACACAGGGAAAAATACACATCTCTGAATTAAGTATCCTTTCACAAAGCAGTGGGAAACAGTGGAACAGTGGAGAGGGCAGGGAAGTATTTGCTTATGTTTTTTTAAGAATAAAAAAAAGAAAAGAAAGTACTGGAGATGCATGATTCTCTCCCTTCGCTCCAACCCTGACCCACTAACTGATATTTACAAAGCAACTTTCTTCCACAGATTTTTCCCCTACTTTATAGGCTCATAATAGGAAACAAAACACCATTTCTACATGTCAGCATTTGTGCATCAATTATCTTTATGGCTTGCAAGCATTGTTTCCCCTTGCAAGGCAATCTGGAGGCCAGAGAAGTGCAGCTGAGCAGGATGAAATGGGATGGCTTTGTTAAGGAGCTGAACCTCCGAGGCAGTTCCAGCAGGCAGGCATCCCACATCCGGGTAAGCTACACCCAGCACCTGGAGGGGAGGATTACAAACCTGCACACCACGGCAAGAG